TGTTCCCGAATCGGCCTGAGCCTCGCTTCTTCCGCTTCTTGGCGCTCATCTCTGCTCGTCGTCCTCGACCAGCGCCCAGCTCCACGTCCTCATGTGCAGTCGTGCTTGCTCTTCCGTGCGATGTTTGGTTGAGAGCGCGCTTCGCGTGGAAGGGGCTTGTCGCGGGATGCTCTTTCGCGACCAGCCTCGTCCGTGTTTTCGCGACGTCGGCGCTCGACGCGATCCGTCGATCGCCGATGATCGATCTTGACGCCTGTACAGACGACGCGTCACTGCATAGGACGGGCGCGTTGGAAGGGTGTGGCCCAGGGCCCGGCGCCGGGAGCTCGCGCCCTCTAGAAGGCGGCTGCGGTGGCCCTGTGCCGCGAGCTGGCCGACGGCAAGCGAAGGATTGCAAAAAAACAAAGAAAAACAAAACAACAAAAGAACAACAAAACAACAACAAAACCAGACAAACAAAAAAAACAAAAAACAACACAAAAAGCAAAAACGTTTTGCAGTTGTTTTGGCGCGGCATCCTCACGCAGGGGCGCGTCGCCGGCAGGCTGCCGGACCGGCTCGGGCCCTCCGTCGGTGCTGGCAGGGCGTGCGCCGTCGACTTTGGGCAGCGACGGCTCTGCGGGCCCAGCTCTGGGAGGCTGCCGGGGGGCGGGGCGGGGTCTGCCCAGGGCGAGGCCCGGGCCCGCCGGCGCTGCCCGCCAGCGCGGGCGCGTCTCTGAGCCGCCCTCGCGATCTCCCGGGGCCGCAGCGCCACATTCGCACTCGCGCTGCTGGCCCGACGGCCGGGGGATCTTTTTTTGGGCCGACGTTGAGGAGGAGGAGGAGGAGGAGGAGGAGGAGGAGGAGGAGGAGGAGGAGGAGGAGGAGGAGGAGGAGGAGGAGAGGGGAGGAGGAGGAGGAGGAGGAGGAGGAGGAGGAGGAGGAGGAGGAGGAGTTCGAGGCTGGTAAGTTGGGTACAGCAGGCAGGTCGCTCGAGGCACCCCCCACCGCTGAGGGGCGCGACCGGGTGTCTCTGCAGGGTGGGGGGCGAGGTCGAGCCGTCCGCGTGCCCAGAGGTGCTCTCTATATGTCCGTGCCGTCCGCGCACGGAGGGGCGGCCCGCCGCGGAGAGCGGTGGTTTCGCTCCCAGGGTCAGGTGGGCTCGGGAGGTTTCTGGCCCGGTCCGGCTCGTGGATTCGAGTGGGGCCTTGCTCTCTCGCTGAGCCCAGAGATGGTTTGGGGGGCCATCCCTACTCCAGATTTCGTAATAAAAGGGAGGGGGTCTGGACCCTCCAAGACAAGCCATTTCAGACCCCCCCCCCGTGGGAGAACCTTCCAAAACATCGTCCCCAGACCCCCCCGGGCCCTCCAAGATAGCCTGGAAGAGACCCCCCACGAAATGAGACCCCCCTCCCTTTATTACGAAATCTGGAGTAAGGGGGCCGTCTCTAGTCATGACAGTGTGAGCTGGAGTAAGGTGCCTGGGCCCATTTCAGAGCATAGGGTGTCCCTCTCTCGCCTCGGCCGGACGATGGCTGAGCCACGTGTTTGGTCTGGCGGTTTTGGTCTATGCATCAGTTTGGCCATCGACTCCCCCCAGATGGTCGCATTGTGATGTAAAGAGGCCGCGTCGGGAGGTGGGGTTGAAAGAGACTCGGGGGGTAAGTGCGGGGTGGGACATCGTCTGTGCTGTGATGTTTTCGAAGCCTTGCAGCGATCCTCAAAAGTCTCCAATTAGGACGAGGGCCTGACGAGGGCCCTCGCTTGCAACGGCTACTGGGCGGCGGCTCACGCGGTCGCTGTTGGATATGTTTCGATTTCGCCTCTGTGCCCGTTGAGTGGTTGCGAGAACAACGCCTTCTTTCACCGTCGCTGGAAAAGGCCATCGTCCCTGCGTGGTCGAGAAACGTGATAAGAGTGTACCGGTTTGGATTCGAGATGTGGCATTCGACGTGGCATCGGAAGGCCATGATTGGCTCCTCTTCTTGCGCGGCGAGTTGCAGCTGGAGGGTTTCTCCGAAAGGCTTAGGCGACCCCTCCTCCTCCTCGTCCTCCTCCTCCTCTTCCCTCCTCCCTCCTCCCTCCTCCCTCCTCCCTCCTCCCCCCTCCTCCACCTCCTCCCTCCTCCACTCTCCTCTCCCTCCTCCTCCCTCCTCCTCCTCTCCTCCTCCCTCCTCCCTCCTCCTCCTCCCTCTCCTCCTCCTCCTCCTCCCTCCTCCTCCTCCCCCTCCTCCACCTCGGGTCGCCCACGGCCCCGGGGGAGACCGCGGCGAGCTGCGGCACCCTGGCGACACTCTCCCTGGACCTGCCTCGCCCCCCTCTGCTCCTCACTCCCCGGCCTCGCCTCCCCCTGCGCCCGTCGGGCGGGAGCATGTTGAGGGTCCTCCTCCTCCTCGTCCTCGTCCTCCTCCTCCTCCTCCTCCTCCTCCTCCTCCTCCTCCTCCTGCGCCGCCGCCCTTCTTCTTCTCCTCCTCCTCCTTCTCCTCCTGAGGTACTGGCGCTCCTCCTCCTCCTCCTCCTCCTCTGCGCCCGTCGGGCGGGAGCATTTTGAGGGCCCCCAGACGGGGTGGTCACCAGACCGTGTGGTGAGCCGGTGGGGATTCGGGGTCGCCGCACGGTGTCGGGGCTCGAGTCCCTCTCCGAGGATGCCTTTGGCGACGGGGTCCTCCAGGGTCCCAACACCGTGCGGCGGCGGACGGACCGTGCGGTGAGGTGTTGGGGGATTTCGAGGTCACCGCACGGTGTGTCACCGCACCGCTTCGGGACTCCAAAGGAATCCTTTCGGGGGCGCGTTTTTTCCTCGACGGCTCCTGCTGTGGACGACGATCCATGGAGAGAAAGCATGTTGCCAAATGATTTCCAGGTGTCTACAAAATGCTATACTATATCTTGGACCTATAAAAAACAAAAGAACAGGACTCAGGCATTTTAGGGACATGTTGGTCAGACATGTTTTGAACACGTGTTTAATTTGATTCAATGATCGGATTGTTAGGGTGTCCATTGTCATGGTATCCACAAGGCTCGTGCTGACGTCATCTGGTTCGTGAGCCTGCCAGGAGCGCAAGTGGCCTGACCGTGACGGCCGACGACATGACTCTTTCCGGTGAGTCCACGGGGTCATCTTGGGCTCCCTGCTTGCGGACGCCCTAAGGGGCTGCATTCGGTGCGCTGGTTCGGTCTAGCTCTTAGGCCTCGCATGCCATTGGTCTCACGATCGACTGCGAGAATTTTGTGGTGCACGGATCCCTTCCCAATGCGGAGGCTCTCTCATGCCAGATCCATGCGCGGGGGCGATTGTTCATGCGCGGCACTTGTTTGGCCCTCGTCTGCTGTCGTATACGAAGATAAAAGCCCACTGTGACACGAATGCGCAGGGCATCAGTGTCCACGAGAGGTTTGTGAGGCTCGGTATTTTTTACGCTGACCACCCCGCAAAGAGTGCTCTTGCTCGGCACCCGTCGGCGGACCCTTCAGCTCAAGAGGAGCTTGACCGAAATGTCGAGATTGCCAGACGTGTCCATAAGGTCGGTGCCGCCACTTTTGCTGGACTGGCCTTGTGCGGAATTCCGTGGGCACTGCTCGTGCTCTTCAAGGGGCCCCCGAAGCTCACTGTGGTTTGAGCCATGCGTGGATATGAGCGAGTGGCTTCTGGCGTTGTCAAGTGTGCTTGAGTGGCCCACGGTTGGAGTGAAAAGGCTCTTCCTGGCAGTGTGTGTGTCTTGGTCGTCCAAATTCGGTCAGCGAGTGTTGGAGGGGCTTGAGCATCGAGTGCTCGCTTTTCCGTGCTCAGATGCTTCCCATCTTTTTGTGTGTTTGTCCTGTAAGGTCTATTCCAGCGGCGCCCCGGTGGTCGGTCCCAGCAGAGTCTTCTGCTCCCCTCCGCGAGTGGAGTCAAGAGTTTCAGGAACTTGAAGCGTGGCCTTCACCCAGACAAGGATGGAGTTCACGTCGACTTGGACGAATCCATAAGCCTTATGTGATCTTGTCTCAGTTTTACTGGCGCCTCTCAGAGTACGTGCAGTTGTGATAGAGGCAATGTGATCCGTGACAAAACGGTGGGGAGGGAGGGGGGGAGATGAAGAGGGATGATGATGAGGAGGAGGAGGAGAAGGATACGGATGGTGATGATGATGATGAGGATTACGATGAGGATAATGATGACGACGACAATGATGATGATGCTGATGATGATGATCAGGATGGTGATGATGGTGATGAGATGATGGTGATGATGATGCTGATGCTGATGCTGCTGGCGATGATGACGATGATGATGCTGATGATGATAACGATGCTGATGCCGATTATGATAATAATAATGATGAAGATGAAGATGATGATGCTGATGATGATGATGCTGATGATGCTGATGCTGATGCTGATGCTGCTGCTGCTGCTGCTGCTGATGATGATGATGATGATGATGATGATGATGATGATGATGATGATGATGATGATGATGATAATGCGGATGAGGATGAGGAGGAGGATGAGGATGAGGATGATGATGAGGAGGAGGAGGAGGAAGAGGAGGAGGAGGAGGAAGAAGATGAGGGAGAGGCGGAGCAGGGAGAGAATCCTCCTCTCCTCCCTTTCCTTCCCGACGCTCCCATCCTCCTGCTGCTCCTCCTCCTCCTGCTCCTCCTCCTCCCCCCTCCTCCCCCCTTTCTCTGCGTGCGTGGGATCGAGCGTGCAACCAAGGCAGCAGCAGAAACGCAGGAAGACGAAGGACGTCGTGCAGCCAATCAAGGTGACCCTGGAGCAGTTGTACAACAGCGCCTCCAAGAAGCTGGCGATCACCAGGCAGGTCATCGACAAGAAGAGGGGCGTACAGGACAGTACTAGCACATAAACAATAACACAAATTTAGTCCGAGTAAGGGGGCCGAACGGCATTTCATTGTCCCTGGGTGCGTGGCTGAATGAGGAATTCGTGGTTAGAATTCTGCTTGTTGCGTTGTTGTTGTTTGTTGTCGTCGTCCCACCCGCGACTCACCCGCGACCCACCCCGCGACCCACCCCGCGACCCACCCCGCGACCCACCCGCGACCCAACCCGCGACCCACCCCCCGATCCACCCGCGACCCACCCCGCGACCCACCCGCGACCCACCCGCGACCCACCCGCGACCCAACCCGCGACCCACTTGCGACCCACCCCGCGACCCATCCGCGACCCATCCGCGACCCACCCGCGACCCACCCCGCGACCCATCCGCGACCCACCCCGCGACCCACCCTCAAGGGAGGAAAAAACACCCAGACACGACAATTTACGTTTACAAAACGGCCCTGGGCGTTGACTAAGCAGCCCTGCCCTGCTCGATTTATTCCTTGTGTGCGTTTACTAAACGGCTTTGCTTGTCGGGGTGATTGTTATGGGGTGGATATTTTGCCCTCTCCACCCGCGACCCACCCGCGACCTACCCACATTGGTTTAACGAAAAAACGGCGCTTGCGGCGGGCTCGTTGTATACTCTGTGTTACTTTGGCGCCTGCGGCGGGCTTCTCCAGAGTCTCGCAAACTGCCGACGTCCCCACCGCCCCCTCACTCTTTTCCGCGTCTGCGGGGTGCCGCGTAATTTAGATCAGTGGCCCTTCTGTCCATCCCGCTGCCGTGCCTGGGTCGTGGGTCAGAGTTCTCTCGTGTGCCCATCGGGGTCTCTTGGGATGTCTCTCTTGGGGGCGTCTTGGAGGCCTTTTTGGGTGTTTGGGGCGCCTTTTACGTATGTCTTGGGGGCCTCCCCGGTGCCTCTTGGAGGCCTCTCTGGACCTCTTAGTCGCCTCTGGTGGTCTTGTCGGGGCCTCTTGGCGGTGTCGGGGTCCATCCTGGCACCAAGCGACTCCGGGAACCAGTTCGTGGTCCGCCCTTCGGGATTCAAGACCGACGGTTGTTAATCATGCTTGACTTCGGAGGCGCCGATCCTCGGAAGCGCCCAGAAGCGCACGTGAATTCGGGAACTCCAAGGTTTGGGGCCCTTCGCGACGATAAGTTCATATTATCTCCGTGCAGAGAACTCGAAGGGGCCTGCGGACTCCGTCCCTACGTCACGGTGGCGGCTCGGCAATCACACGCACTTTCGCACAGGAGTGCCGCGAGTGCGATGGCCGTGGCGTCAAGGTGGAGGTCATCCGCATGGGCCCCATGATCCAGCAGATGCAGTCGGCCTGCGGAGCATGTGGGGGGAATGGCAAGTCTTTCACAACTAAGCAGGAGAGGGAGGTGCTTGAGGTTCACATCCAAAAGGGCGCCCCCGACGGTCACAAGGTGACCTTTCGCGAGATGGCGGACGAGCATCCCGACGCGGACGCCGGCGACGTGATCTTCGTCCTGAAGCAGCAGGAGCATGCCGAGTTCAAGAGGAAGGGCGCGGACCTTTTCATCGAACGTAAGATATCGCTTGTGGAGGCGCTCTGCGGCTTCGAGCTCACCATCACGCACCTTGATGGTCGCAAGCTGTTCATCAAGACCGCGCCTGGTGAGATCGTGAAGCCACCTCCGCGCGGTGTGGACCCACTGTCGAAGGAAGAGGCCAAGACTGACTGGGAGGTCATGGAGGATTGTGACTGCCCGAGCATCGACAACGTAGCTCAGGCAGACACGACTGACGTGGACACCCTCAAGAAGGCGGTAGAGACCCAGCTTAAGCGCAAGGGTATCGATGTTGGAGTTTTTGTCGTTGACGGGAGCCGAGCGTACTTCAAGCAATGCACTAGACAGGAGGCGCTCGCGGCTAAGAAGACGAAGAAGGGCTCCACGATGTACATCGTTTCGGACCCCGATGCCAACAAGTCCTTCCGGATGATGAAGGCAGTGAAGGGCGAGGGTATGCCCACGGTCAAGAATCCTTTCGTTCATGGCAACCTGTTCCTGATCCTTACCATCGAGTTCCCGGACTCGCTGTCGCCAGATATTCAGGGTCAGCTGAAGGGCCTGCTGCCGCCGCCGCTGAACAAGGCGACTCACAAGGAGGACGACCAGACTGTCGAGATCCACACCGTGACCGACATCGACCCCGTGACCTCCTTCAACGCCAACAAGGCTAACATGCAGGGCGGCGGGGAGGCCTACGACGACGAGGACGATGAGGGCCCCCGCGGGGGCGGTGGGCCCGGCGGGGTCCAGTGCCAGCAGCAGTGAGAGGGCCGCGGCTGTCCACGTGAGACTTCGCTGTGCGAAGCCGGGAAGCCAGGCGCCCATCCCTCTGGCGGCTTCAGGGGAGGACCGGGGCTCCTCCTCCTCCTCCTCCTCCTCCTCTTCCTCCTCCTCCTCCTCCTCCTCCTCCCCCTCCTCCTCCACCTCCTCCCCCCTCCTCCTCCTCCTCATCCTCCTCCTCCTCCCTTTCACAATTACTCAATATGAATACTACTCTCCCTCTTCCCCTGATGACGTCTTTTGCGTATTCGCCCCCCCCCCCCCGCGTACTGTTTTTTTTACACACGGATTCCCGGAGTTGGGTTTTCGCCTGCGTTTTTTTCAAAATGCTGCTCTCGCTGAGGCGCCGGCCTCATTTCTGCTCCCGAATCGTTCCGAATCGTGCTCCCGCTGCAGCGTGGGCCTCATTTTCGGATCGGTGTTTTGCCTCCGTCGTTCAGGATGGCGTTCTCGCCCCAGCGCGGGCCTCTTTCTCGCGCGCCCATCCGCCCGCCACCACCGCGCCGCACCACGCCCCGCCCCGCCGCACGCACACCCACCGCCACTTCCACCCACCAACGCACGCACGCACGCACGCGCACCATCACCGCGCACCGCCACCACCACCGCACTACCCCACCCACCACCACCACGCTACACCGCGTCACACCACATCACACGCGCGCACACACGGACACACACGCACGCACACGCACACGCACACGCACACGCACACGCACACGCACACGCACACGCACACGCACACGCACACGCACACACACAGCCACACACACATACACATACACATACACATACACATACACATACACATACACATACACATACACATACACATACACATACACATACACATACACATACACGTACACATACACATACACATACACATACACATACACATACACATACACATACACATACACATACACATACACACATACACATACACACATACACATACATACACATACATACATACATACACACACACATACACACACCACCACCGCCACCACCACCACCGCCATCACGCACGTACGCACCTGGCCACCACCAAACCACCAAGACGCCACACCACGTCACACCACAGCACACGCGCACACACGCACACACACATACACACCACCACCACAACAACCACAACCACGCACACACGCACGCACGCACGCGCACCACCACCCACTACGCACACGCGCGCGGAGCCACAGGTCCGCTACGACACGCGTCAGCGGATAGAGAAAATCAGCGCCATGGTAAGGGATGGGAGGGAGGGGTAGGATGTCAGATGTTGACGCGAGCGCACCTAACTTGTCCTCCCCCCTCCCCTCCCTCCTTGGGCACCGTGGGCGGGGAGCACATCCATGACCTGTCCACGGCCCTCGCGGCCAGAGCTCCTCGGCCGCGATCCCGTGGTGACGCGGGGCGGCCTTGCGCGGATGCCCCGCGCGGAGCACGGCCACAGGATCGCGCGTTCTCGGGATCGCGCGAGGGCATGGCCACCGTCTGGGAGGCCTCTGTGGGCCAAGAGATGAAGAATTGCCGAGGGAGGGAGGTCGCAGCGCCCCGCTTGGAAGTGGGCGAGGAGCCACAGCACTTGTTCGCCGTCGTCGCCGTCGAGGCCGCAGGGCCGGAGCCAGCGACCCAGACGAGAAACGGCTACTGATCGGACCGAGGTCTAACATTGAGCTCGGTTCGGGGACGGTACCCCAGTGCTCTTCATGCTTGTTGCACGTTCTTGCGCCTCCTGGGGGAGGGTACCCTCGATTGGTTTTCAGTTTGGCCGGCAGAGGGTCTCGTGTTCTCGAAGGAGTGTCCTTCGGTCCCAGGTCTGGCCGCGCTGCTCGGATGGCCGCTGCCCAAACGGCTCTTCGACTGCCCATGCGCCGCGCCGTCTTTGGTGCTCCTGCCCCTGGGTCTCCCCGGGAGCCCCCCCCCTCCCCTGACCTTCAGTCGGGCACGCCCCTCTTCAAGAGGAATGCTCAAGAATAGTGAGAACATAGTCTGGGAACGATTTCCGATCATCATTTTTTTGGCAATTTTGGATTTTTTCAATATTCCCCAAAATCTAAATTCCCCGGCGGAGGTACCTAAGAGGGCCCTGAGATGGTCGGAGACGCCCCAGAGCCCGAAGACTGCCCAACATGGCTCCAAGATGGTCGGAGACGCCCTGACAAAGTGGCACAGCGTCAAACGGACATTAGGGGAACCGGCATAATGCGCCTGAATGCGGCACAGGGTTATACCACAATATGGGAATCTGCATTTTGCGCCCTATAGGCATCCTCTTCTTTGTTTTTCTCTTCCTCGCAAGTCGCGCCCACTTGTCCTCCAAGCTCGGGGTTCGTGGCAAAAATCCGGCGGAGGTACAGACCGAGGATCCACCCCCCCCTGCGGGCGGAAGGCCAGAGGCCGGCGGAAGCTGGCAGCGGGGAAAAAGTCGGCCCTCCAAGAGAGAGGACATCTTTACAGCAAGGGGGATTCGGGGCTTCATCGACGAGCTAGAAGGCTACCCATACCCCCTCGGGTGATGAAAACATCCGGAAGGGAGGTTTTTCCGTATTTTCGGCCTCGGGGGGCCCTCGCCGGGCCTCGGGACCGTCAGAACACGACCCATGAGGAAAAACCGGTCCCGGGGGATGGGTCGAGACCTTCGGGGGTCGACGTGGTGAAAAGTTCATGGCGTCGGGGGTCTGGGTAGGATGCATGTCCTGGGAGGCCCCACTCTGTAACGGCGCTGGTGCTTCCGCGGTCCATGATCAGCTTCATCTGGGCCAACCCGGCCTGGTTCGGCTTAGTCCCGCTTCACCCGGCTCAACTCCTGGGCCTCATCCGGCCTCATCCGGTGAAGTGGCACCTCGACCGGGCTCTTCAATCGCCCTCAGCAGTTCCAGCGAACACCTCCCAGGAGGTGCCCCCGAGGGAAGGGCCTGCGCAGATGGGGCCGGCCGATCGCGCTGCGCCGCCTGGCGCAGCGGCACTTTTCGGCGCGATCTGCAGCCCGTTCTCCTCCAGCTCGCCGTCGCCCTGCGCCGCGCCGAGGCATCGGCGGTGCGGTACGATATCCTCGGGCCCCTCGTGGGCGTTTTTTCCCGGAAAGGGCTCGAGCCCAGGGTTCTCTTTTAGATGGTTTACCCCCGGTTTCGACGGCTGTAGGGCCGGCGAAATTATTCTGCGATAAATAACGAGGTCGCGTAGGGCCGGCGAATTAGAAATTGAGGATGTTTCGAACGAAACGCTTGATTTTCAGAATTTGTTGAGGATGTCTCGAGCGAAACGCTTGTTTTGTATTATATATTGTGCTCTCCTGGGGACCTGAATTCAGAGGATCTCTCAGGTGAAATGCTTGTTTTCACGTGCCCAGGTTTTGAGGATGTTTCGAGCGAGACGCTTAGTTTCACGCCTCCAGGTTGCCCAGACGGGTGTCTAGCATGAGGATTTGTTGAGGATGTCTCGAACCAGAGGCTTGTTTTCACGTGTCCAAGTTGCCCAGGCGGATGTCTAGCATGAGACGGTGTCGAGGAAGTCTCGATCGAGACGCTTGCTTGCGCGTGTCCAGGTTGTCCAGGCGGATGTCTAGCATGAGGATGTGCTGAGAACGTCTTGAGCGAAACTCGTGTTTTCACGTGTCCAGGTCGCCCAGGCACAGCACAGCCCTCGGCACGGTACGTCAATATCGATACCCTTAGCATTGCAGCCTGGCACGTTGCCTGGCACGTTCCGCGGAGCGTCCCGTGGCGAGTCCCCCTGGCACGTCGCGCGGTGCACGTCCATTGGCTCGTTCCGTAGCGCGTCCCCTTGGCACGTCCCGCGGTGCGTGCCCATGGCACGTCCCTTGGCACGTCGCCTGGCGCGTCCCGTCGCCTGGCGCGTCCCTTGGGACGTTCCGCGGCGCGTCCTCCTGACATGTCCCCCTGTCCATTAGCTCTGGGGCAGCTACTATGTGCTGAGGCCGCTCGAGCTTAAGATCTAGGTCGGTTCGGTCAGGACTCGTGTGCAAAGGAGGACTCGATCCACAACGCTATAGAGCACAATCGCGGCATGGCACGTCGCAGTTCAGCACAGCGCAGCACAGCACAGCCCACGGCACGGTACATCAAGATCGATACACTCAGCATTGCAACTTCGGCACGTTCCGTGGCGCGTCCCGTGGCGAGTCCCCCTGGCACGTCGCGCGGCGCGTCTCCTGGCACGTCCATTGGCACGTCCATTGGCACGTTCCGTAGCGCGTCCCCTCGGCACGTCCCGCGGTGCGTCTTCGTGGCACGTCCCTTGGCACGTCGCCTGGCGCGTCCCTTGGGACGTTCCGCGGCGCGTCCTCCTGGCATGTTCCCCTGTCAGTTAGCTCTGAGGCAGCTACTATGTGCTGAGGCAGCTCGAGCTTAAGATCCAGATAAGTTCGATCAGGATTCGGATGCAAATGAGGACTCGATCCACAACGCTATAGACACAATCGCGGCATGGCACATCGCAGTTCAGCACAGCGCAGCACAGCACAGCTCTCGGCACGGTACATCAAAATCGATACATTAAGCATTGCATTTGCCCGTCGCCCAATCAGGTGTCTTTCAAACGTTGCCATGCCTTACATTTCTATACTCCTTTCCGGGTTCGTGGGTCGATCATGTTGTTGTTGTTGTTGTTGTTGTTGTTGTTGTTGGTGTTGTTGTTGTTGTTGTTGTTGTTGTTGTTGTTGTTGTTGTTGTTGTTGTTGTTGTTGTTGTTGTTGTTGTTGTTGTTGTTGTTTTTGTTGTTTGTTCATTGTGTTACCGCTTGGCGCCGGCCCTCACGGGAGCTTGGAAAGCAGGCGGACATCTCCGCCCTACGCACGGTTAAGTCGGGCCTGCTCCCTCCACAGGAGGAGTGTTCAAAAATAGTCCAAAAACAGTCTGGGGACGTTTTTTCGAGCATTTGTCGACCATTTTTGACCATTTTAGGGGCCTCTTTAATTTTTCGTCCAAACTTGCATTATGTTATTTTATTCAATC